TGGATAAATAACACCTTGATAAATAATACCTGGATAAATAACACCTGGATAAATAACACCTGGATAAATAATACCTGGATAAATAATACCTGAATAAATAACACCTGGATAAATAACACCTGGATAAATAACACCTTGATAAATAACAGCTGGATAAATAACACCTGGATAAATAACACCTGAATAAATAATACCTGGATAAATAACACCTGGATAAATAACACCTGGATAAATAACACCTGAATAAATAACACATTGATAAATAATACCTGGATAAATAATACCTGGATAAATAACACCTGGATAAATAACACCTGGATAAATAACACCTGGATAAATAAAGGGTGAAAGAAAAAAAAAGTTGAGATGAAATAAAAACAGTAATCAGATTAGTTTTGAATGTTTCTGTCTTTAGTAACAAAGTAGTAAAAGTTTCAGTAAAATAATAAAAACCTTCTTGTGAAGTACATGAGTCTAATATTTAATAGCAAACACGAGCAGCAAAGTTTCGTTTGAACTTTGTTCTTTGAACAACGTTCTGGAACAGACGTGCAGCAGAAGTGAAGGAGCAGCTGCTGCTTTGTCTCAGAGATTCTGGGAGTTTCAGGCGCACATCTGGCCTTCAGGCGTCTGTCACCGAGCAGCTGGGAGGTTCCTGCAGCTTCAGTCTGGACGCTTGTTGCTGGAGGACTTCACATCATTTCAGGACCAATCATGACAATTCTGAACTTTCTGAAGCCAGAAGAACCTTCACTTCAAGTTTGACACAATCTACATCTAAATGTATCTTCTCTCTGCTTTAGACGTCTTTAAATCCTCTTCGTGCTTGTTGATTATTTTTTTGAGGCTAAGAACAGGATTAAAAAGTGTGTTTCAAAGACAGGGGGTGGGGTTTATTATGGAGGCGGGGTTATTTTGTGTGTGTGTGTGGGGGGGTCTGCATTAATTATTGATAATTTAGAGAAATCAGGGAGAGTACCAGGATCAAACATTTCCCCGTCAGCAGGAAACTCTTCAACCTGAAACAAAAAACAAAACTTTAATAAAAATAATTCATAATTTTCATGCATCATAAATGATCTTATCTCAGATCCAGGAGGAACAATGTGGGTTCCCTCCTGGCGGTGGAACACTCGACCAGCTCTTTACCCTCACTAGGATCCTCGGGTGGTCATGGGAGTTTGCCCATCCAGTCTACATGTGTTTTGTGGACCTGGAGAAGGCATTCAACCGTGTTCCTCGAGGTGCACTGTGGGGGGTGCTCCATGAGCATGAGATTGGGGGCCCGTTGTTATGGGCTGTTCAGTTTTTATACAAGCGGTGCAAGAGTTTGGTTCTCATTGCCGGCAGTAAGTCGGACCCTTCAGGGTGGGAGTTGGACTCTGCCAGGGCTGCCTGTTGTCACTTATTCTGTTCAGAACTTTTATGGACAGAATTTGAAATAATAATAATTTTTGAAATGAGTTTCCTCTGCAGGAGCTGGACTCTCCCTCAGAGACAGGCTGAGAAGTTCAGTTATCAGGAGAGACTCAGAGGAGAACCACTGCTCCTCCACATCCAGAGGAGCCAGTTGAGGTGGTTCATCTGGTAAGGATGCTCCCTGGACGCCTCCCTAGGGAGGTGCTTCGGACATGTCCGACTGGGAGGAGACCCCGGGGAAGACCCCCGACACGCTGGAGAGACTACGCCTCTCGGTTGGCCTGGGAACTCCTTGGAGTCCTCCCAGAAGAGCTGGAAGAGGCTGTGGAGAGAGATGTCTGGACCTCCCTGCTCAAGATGCTGCCCCGAGACCTGAGTCCAGAACAAGAGGAAGATGATGGATGGATGTTTCCTACACTGTGAATAAATGTTTGTGCCTTCAGATAACTTTCATACGTTTTCAAAATTTAAAACTACATTTGTCGTACTGCATAAGACATAAACAATTAAAACTGGAAATCTAAAAGTGATGAAACTGCTTCGTTGTTTTTTTATAGAGACTGCATAAACAATAAAACATGGATTGAGTTCCTTAAAAAATCTTGAAGTTATATTAGGAACAGTCCTGACTCAAGAAAAATATATTTTAGATTCATGAAAATAATTTGATGTGAAATTATATGAAAACCTGTTCTAGAGTAAAAACTTGATGAACTGATGTTTAAAACTGATAAAACACTCTGAAGAGATAAATCGACAAACAGGTGTCCTACAGGGATGAAGGCGAGGTTGTCACGGAGACAGACGTCCTGTAGCTCGCCACGCAGAGCAGTCACGTGACCGCGGTGGGCGGAGACTTCCTGCTCGAGCTGGTGGATCCTGGAGCTGCAGGCGTGGCAGAGCTGAGAGACGACAGAGAGGAAGCTCTGCAGACAGACGGGCAGAAAGATGAGGGGGCGGAGAGAGGAACAACGCTCATAAGCCCCTCCCACTTCCTTACCTGGCACGCTGCCACCTCAGGAGCTCCCATGATGCTATCTGTTGCGCTACCGTCCAGGTGTTCCTGAGGTAAGACTAGGGGGAGGGGCTGCCTGAGAATGGAGCGCTGTGATTGGATGAGATCCTCTCTGACCTGAAGAGGGAGGAGAATCAGGTCAGAAACTGTGTGTGTGTGTGTGTGGAGGGATGCCCCTGTTTATGCTACAGAGTGAGGACCATCACATGTTTTTAACCAACAAAGTGAGGTCATTGTTGGGAAGTGAGGACATTTGTCTGGTCCTCACTTTGTAAGCTAAAAGAGTGCTGTAGGGAAGCTAAAGTTAGTTTAACAAATGTTAAACTAGTTACCAATTAGTAAAAAAACTGCTAAACAAATGAAGTAATCATAACACAAAAAACTTGAACACAAGTTTAAAATGGTGTACAGAAGTTAAAAATTTTTCATTCAACCTTTATTTCTACAGGTAAATCCCATTGAGCCTCGAGGACTCATTTACAAGAGAGACCTGATTTAACAAAGAAAGATGACAACAATGGACAACAGCAACAACAATAAGCAGTTATAAAAAGTCATACAAATTTTTTTTTACAAATAAGATGGCTAAAAAAAGTAACAAAAAACAGCTAGACTATAAGGCGAATGTAGAAAACTAAAAACAGGAACGTGTCTGCATTGAATGAAAAATGTTTAAACAAACAGTTGAACTGGCCAAAAAACTGAACGGAAACTATAAAAGGCTGAATGACCCTTTAAAGTGTTAAACAGGTTTAAAAAGAGCTGTAGGCAACCTAAAACTAGTTTAACAAATATTAAATTGGTTAACAGTTAGTTAAAAAAATACAGAAAATATGTTAAAAATAGTTAATGTGGAAGTCAACCAGACCAAAAAACTTAAACTGACGTTTAAAATAGTAGAACAGAAGGTTAGTGCTTAATAAGCATTCACACAATAATCGTGTCCAAAACTGATCATACTTTATTTCTAAGTGGTTCAGAACTAGTGGTCCTCACTCTGCCGGTCTTTGTACTTGGTCCTCACTATGAGGTTAATACAAGAATGTGTGTGGGGGAGGGGTGTGGAGGGGTGTATGTGTGTCCACCTGCTTGCAGCTCATCTCTGCAGCCTTCAACCAGCGGACCACACACTCTTGTTGCCTGAAAAACAACATAAAGTATAAAGTACTGAGAGTAAAGTACTGAGAGTAAAGTACTCAGAGTAAAGTACTCAGAGTAAAGTACTGAGAGTAAAGTACTCAGAGTGAAGTTCTGAGAGTGAAGTACTGAGAGTGAAGTACGTTTGAGTTGACCCAAACTGGGTCGGGCTGCAGAAACAAAATATCAGTAAGCTAAACAAAACCGGACAGTGTGTAAAACTGAAAAGGGACATTAAAAGACACTCATGTCCAGAAAAGAGACGAGACTCTGGGTCCACAAGACACAACAACATTTAACAATATCTTTAAGAACTTTAAACTCAACCTCCTGTCTGAATGTTCATGAGTGTTTTCAGGTTGTAGAACGGAGCTTCAGCAACACATGACCAAAATTCTTATTAAAGTTATGTGACCTTTGAACTCTGGACAGTCCAACTCCGGTTTATCTCTTAGTCTTTGTCCAGGCGAGCCGTTAACCTAGCCAGGACGAAGACTTCAGTCATTTTCTCTGAACTCATGTTGTGTCATTCTCATCATCACACTCTTGATCTGGTTCTGACCTATGGCACTGAGATTAATAACTTAATAATAGTTCCTCATAATCCTGATCTGTCGGACCATTTTTTAATAACTTTGAGTTTGCATTAAATGACTACACAGTCACAGAGTAAATTTCATCTCAGCAGGTGCTTATCAGAAAGCGCTGTAACCAAATTTAAGGATTCTCTGCCATCACTATTTTCTTCTGTCTTGCAGAGTAAGGAAGTAGAGTACAGAACCTCCTTCTTCCAGCTGCGTAATATCACTAACATTAGAAACATCTGATCTAAAGATGATGC